TATCTGCAACTGCTTCTCTTTTTTTCCCGTTGGTTGGCACTGACATAAAGTTACTTCTAGCGACGTTAACGAATTCCACAAAGGAACACAGAAAAATATATGTTGAATCCAATGCCCATAATGACAGAGTCCCAGCTTATGCTTTCCCTTGTATGCTGTTGCTAGGTAAGTCATTTTACTTTCTGAAAGTTAATTTACATAGGACATCTAGTTCAGGTGTATGTATCCGTGTTCAAACCAAAAACATTAGAGTATTTATGTTTAATTTAACGTCACAACCGTTCTGTTACTTAGGGGAGTTCTAAGTAAGTAAGTTCTGGAAAGGGAGTTCCGGTCCTCCTCTTTCTCTCTTTTCTGTGTTAGGTAAAGCTACTCCTCCTAAAGACACTAGCACAGATCTCCAAAATGTCCACCACAGAACAAAAAGGTCAAAGAAGAGAAAGTTGTTCCCGCTGAATCTTGCCATATCACATGCAAGAGAAACGGCTTCTGAACCTGCCTCACCTAAGTAAACACGGCGCCTAATAAATTCAGTGCCTAAACTGGACCCCAGACATATGAATCTTTGCCCATAGAGTTACCTTCCCCCACTGTCTGTGTATACTAGAGCGCCTACAGACTTCCATTGGTGTAACTTAAAATATATATATATATATATATATATATATATATATATATATCCGAACAAACTCCTGATAATCATCTCAGAGAAAGGGTTAATGATATGAGTATCAAGTCTGATGGGAGCAAAATATGACTTAAAGTAAGAGTTATAATTAGGATTTGTCTTTTGGTGAAATAATTTGACCATAATCACCATCAATACTGTGTAAGTTCCAGTTGAGCATAGGTGGGCTAGATAACATTCTGCTGTGCCTTTTACTGGTGATCTGTTCATCTGTATGTAGTGATAGGAACTGGGGTTGGGGCAGATACCAGGTCTTGAAGTAGGCTTCCATCCTGTGACTGTGTATAGATACTTCCTAAATCCAACTTGAAATTTCATCGTAGGTTCTTTCATAAATATGTGGCCCCATTTTATATCCTTTATTTACATGTGTCCCACAAGTAATTTTCCAGAATTATCCGAGACCCACTGATTTGCACTTCCTAGTCCTTCCTTCCAAATGTCATGATTTCCTTTGATAACCTTATAACCACAAACACAGCCTGTTGTCCTCAGTAGTATATTCCACTTTAAGTGTGGTGGAAAATTTGGTCTGTTGAGTTTTCTTCTGCTTGTTTATGTAGCCAGGCCACAGGGTGGGAACCTAGCAGAGTAATCCCAACGCTTGGATAGCACCGTTTGCCTCTGCAAGCAAACCAGGAACACTCCACTCCACCAAATTTATTTTGGTTATGCTGATGAAGCTGCAGCTTCCCACACAAATCAGCAAAAATGGGGTTCGTGAAATTGCGATTAACAACAACAACCACTGCAGTGTGTACTCTCCTTCTCTTTTCTCTGTCCTTTTTGGGAAGACAGAGGAAGAATAATGAAACGGTAAAATCTAATTATAATTCAGATTCCACGAATTCAAAATTGTTGTAGTTCAGGCAAGAGCCAGGTATGATGTTTTAAACGTGCTGATATTTCTCTTTTCAGTGATTTTTATAAGAAGGAAATGTTTTCAACTAACCTCAAGCATTTTATACTGTCTTTTATATACACATATTTTATATATTAATAGTAGGTTTATATGTATACATTTAACTGCGTCTCCTGAGGTCCTTAATTAGATTCAGCATTGACTGGTGCTATTTACTAATAATACTTGAAATTACTTAGTTGGCATTTCAAAGAGAACATCCAAGATCTCAACGCTTCAGTAACTGGGTCTGGCTTCCAGTTTGTGTGAATTAATAAGGCTGAACTAAAATTAATTCTGCTTGGAACACCCGGGGGCGGTCAGAACAGTCTAGTGCCACACTGCCTGGGGGAGACAGCTGGCTTGCCACCTACAATGTCTGTGACCTCTTAGGCAAGTGATTTAATGCCTCTGTGCTTCAATTTCCTCGTCTGTAAAATTCTGTTATAGTACCTACTCCATAGAGTTAGCACTCTTAAATGCGTTAACCTTTGGAGTGTGTGGCACATACTAATCACTATACACATTTTCTTTTTCAAATGGACAACTCAAATTCATTAGGTTTGCCTTAATTTCCTTTGCACCTGTATGAAATTAAGTCAACCGTGCTGACCTGTACGGATGGCTTAGGCTCTTGCAGTAGTGTCTACGATTATGGTTTTAGTGAGGATCTTTTTCACTGTAAAGTATTAAATTTCATGTTTGTTAGAAACAAAACACATAAAATATATTATGGAAGGATAGAGGGACCGGGCACGGTGGCTCATGCCTGTAATCCCAGCACTTTGGCAGGCCAAGGTGGTGGATCACCTGAGCTCGGGAGTTCAAGACCAACCTGGCCAACGTGGTGAAACCCCGTCTCCACTGGAAAAAAAAAAAAAAATGCAAAAATTAGCCAGGCGTGTTGGCCGGTGCCCGCAATCCAAGCTACTTGGGAGGCTGAGGCAGGAGAATCACTTGAACCCAGGAGGCAGAGGTTGCAGTGAGCCAGGATTGCACCATTGCACTCAAGCCTGGGCGACGAGAGCGAAACTCCGTTTCAAACAAACAAACAAAAAGGGATGGGCGTAGAGAAAGCTCAAGTTTGTCTGCTGTGGAAGGTTATCTGGAGGTACCACCATCTCAGAAATGTGAGCATTATCAGAGCTCTGGGGTTCATGAACATAATGGTCTCCTGAAACATGCAGATCAGTAGAACTCTACAATGGTTGCATTCTACTGTCAGGCAGTTGACCCAAGCTGACCCACCGCTCCTAGGTACTTGAGCCTTGCTGCATCCTAAGGCTGCAGGTCACGTAGATGCTGCCATCATGCGAATACTACAATTATGAGCCCTACTGGTAGAGCCCTCCTGGTCATACCAGCACCGAGGGCTCCAAAACTTTGAGGTCATGTGGTCTCTCTTGTTATGTTGCTGCTATGGTCATGTGGTGGGCCCAACTCTTCCAGTCACTAGAGTATGGTGGACTCCTGAACCCTGTTGCTCACATGGATTCTTCCCTCATGTGGCCGTTACTGGCTACCACCATGTGGAAGTCTCAGCCCTCGAAGTCATGTAGATGACCTACTGTTCAGGGCCATGTGGATGCTATGGTCATGTACACTGTTCCCACCCACTCCTCCCCACGGCCACAGAGTCAGGCTCATTCCTCTCTGTCATGGGAAGATTGTGAGCTGCCAAACTCTGCAGATCCGTGTGTGGGCAGGCAAGTGGCTCCTATCATCATGTGGCAGGCAAAACCCTTGTGGTCACGTGAGCACCGCAACTAACCAATGTCTGCTGCACACGTGCCTCCTGTGGTCACGTGAGATTCCACGCCCTCCCAGTATCACGAAGATTGAACTCTCGCGAGTCTTGTCAGAGACGCACTTCCGGCGGTTGTGTGACCTTGACCTCTCCTCTCCTCAGGTACAGGCACCCGCCCTTCAAGTGTCGGGAAGGTCTCCTGACCGTGACTTTCTGAGGAGTCAGAACTACCGAGGTAGACGACCGTTAGAACTGTGCTCCACCCCCTGACTCAGGCGGAAGTTTTATCGGACGGTGGCTCAAGCTGTCCGGCAACTTTCATATCCTGCCGCAGTGGAAGGAAGTCTGGTATTAGGGGAACCAGCCGTTACCAGAAGTTTACTGAGAATTGGGCTTTAAGGGGCGGCTGAGCAATCTTCAAATAACAGAGGCTGTGTGTGGAGGTTTGGGGGGGCTTAAGAACAGAGAAATAGACCATCATCGCTTAAGGGGGCGGAGGGGTGAGGGGGTTGGGTGGAGGTAGGCAGAGGACTTTCTTAATGTGGCCAAACTTGCACACACTTGGCAGAGAAACCTTGTGAGTGTGTGCGCGCGCGTGCTTGCGCGCTTGCGTGCGTGCGTGCGTGCGTGCTGTCGCGCACGCGTGTGTGTGCTCTCGCGCGCTTGTGCATCTATGTCTGCCGTCCGCCTTGATCCTGGATTCACAGGAGCTGTTGTTGGTAGAGAGTGAAGTGAAGGAGGAGAAAGCTCTGGGGCAGAATGTGGGGCTAAGATGTGAGAGGTGGGGTGGGTAGCGGGGCGGCGGGGGTTCACGAACTTGTAAGTCGTCTGTCAGGGTTAGGGCTGTGGAAGCCCGATGGGATCCCCCCTCCCCCACCACCCCGGCCCCACACTGGAAGCTCTACCTTTTCCCGTCACCCTGCCTGATTCACTGTCTGTGCCAGGTGATTCTCTCCTCTGTCCCTCCTCGGACCATGTTGTTATTAAAGACATTCGAGACTTCCTAGATGCCAGTTTGTATAGGCGATTCCAGGCCCAATCTTAATTTCTGTCTTTTATTTGATTATGTAAAGATTCTCTTTGTTTCCGTGATTTGTTTTTCTACTAAACATTCTAAACATGGGCTCAGAGGGGTGGGCGAAAGGGAGAGAGGAGAAGCAGTATTTTTTTTTTTTTTAAAGAGAATTTGATAATTTCAATGAAAGTGTCCAAGTCGTCATGATGTGAAGATTCAGAATTTACTTGTTATACTTTAATTGAACTTCCATTGGCTTTACAAAGTACATTGGGGAGTGGGGTGACAAATTTCATTTTGTGCTTAGGATCCCTCAGTGGCTTATAGTAGTATAGCTTGACGCTCTTTTGTTTCTGATTCTTCCCCTATCACCCCCGGATTCTGTGATTGCTTCTTAGATTCCTTCCTGAAAACTCCCCTTTTCTTCCTGTGGAAAAGTATAGTGAATGGATTTAAGGTACAATCATGGGTGATAACATTTGGTACGTTATGAAAGTGGTATTGGGTGAATGAAGTTGAGCTAATCAGCAAGATAGTGCTTAAACTTATGGGGTTTTAAGTATTGCTCGGCAGATGGCTAGAGAATATTGTGACTTGTGATTTTTGATATCACATGTAGCTCGAATAATCGATTTTTCTCTCATTTCAGCATTTCCAAGTCTGTTCTGTGAGACACTAGGGCCAGGACAAAGCAACAACAAAATGTGCTCTACTCTAAGGAAGTGTGGGACATACAGAACTGAAGGTAAACGAATACTGTAGGAATTTGTTAGATGCTCTGCTAATATACAACATTGAGTCTGAAAGGGAGGGCTACTCTCCCCAACTGATATGGGAATGGCACAGTTTTTCCATAGAGCATTTGAGGTACCAGTGCTCTTCAGAAATTATTTGGGGAAACCCTGTTCAGACTACATCTTCTAACACTTTAAAACCTTGTGCCTTTGTTTACTCAGAACAGCGCAGTGTGGGTTTATAGTAGTTGTAATCTATTCTGCTCATTAAGAAATTGGTTATTGCCCTTTAATTCATTTTATTTTATGTCATTAGTCAGTCTCTCCTGCTTGAAGCTTTCCACATTTTTGCTCTTCAGAGATACCGTCAAGCATGCGTCTGATACCTTGGTGGTGGCAAACAATACGTGCATAAATGCAAGTGATTAGGAAGTGTTACCTGTGGCAGCAAATAAAGTGCCCCACTCTTGAAAACAGGATACAACTTACCTGTCAGGACAAGCAGACGCAGTCCTGCTCATTTTATATATATATATATATATATATATATATATACACACACACACACACATACACACACACACTTCTTCAGAACCATTTTGTTATTAATAATTACAGCTACCATAGTTTGAGCCCCTGTTATATGTCAAGCACTGTGACAACCTTGGCCGTCATGCAAGTTACTGCATTTAACCCTCAGGAAAATCCTGAGAGGGTGTTATTTTAATTGATAGATGAGCTATATGAGACAGGAGAGGCTGAGTGTAACGCTGTGCTTATTGGCAACCCCCAAACCTCAGTGGCTTATTTCTCACTCCTGCTGCATGTTTATGGCAGGTGCACATCCTTCATGGCATGGGGGATGTTTGGGTCTGAGCGATTCTTATTGGAATGACCCAGAGACCCAAACTAATGGAGCAACCACCATCTAGAAAAGGGTTAGTCACTGCGTCAGAGTGGGAGAGAGCCCTAGGGGATCTCAAACCAACAACCAAACGTTCTGGCCCAGAAATAACCCATGTCACTGGTCACTCACAACCCATCGGCCAGAGCTAGTCACATGCACGATCCTGACCCAAGGAAGGCAGTCAGGACGGGCAGTTCTACCAGGTGCCTGGGACAGGGGAGAATGTAAACACTTGGCAAGTGGCAGCACTGACTACCGCATGAAGGAATCGAAGCTGGGAGGGATTAAGTACTTGCCTAACACCACATAGGCTGTAAGTGACAGAATCGGGATTTGAATCCACCCTGGTGTGATTTCAAAGTTGGTGTCCTTTCTGCTTCTTTCTACGCTGTCTGCTATTCTCTTACGGGAAGTTTATAGTAAAAATTCTTTTACATCAACGGTGCAATTCCCTCTTCCTTAATCATCTGATAGTTTAATTGAATAGACACGATGGCACTGGTTAAAAAGACCAGCATTGATAAGCTAGAGGTCTTTTCCAAACGAGGGAATGTATTGGATATTTGAATATCCATTGTATTCTATTATAAAAATAAAATCAGGTGGTAGATGAAAGGACAGTTCATTGATCATTTACTTAATATAGAATAATCTCCACGCCTTTCCACTCTGTTAAGGAAAAATGATAAAAATTAGAGCCTACCTTGATGAAACTGAAAACAGATGTGATAGAGTTGAACAAAATTGCTAGATGTCAGTGTTTCAGAAACACAAGATAATGATAAAATCTCTGGCCACATGGGCAGAGGAAAGTTAGCGAGATGGTGCAGGTAAGCCACTTTTGGAATGAAGATAGTGTCACACTTACAGTGACAGAAAAGATCACATTATGAAAAAGATGTGATAGTTTGAAAATTTAGATTAAATAGTTGAATTCCAGGGGAAAAATATAACTTTCCCTACTGAAGGAATAGAACATCTTAGTTTGTTCAATATATTCTTGACAAGGAATACATGCAAAGGCAAATTTACTAGCTGATCTGAATTAGTCACAGAAGCGCAAATAATATAAATTAATTAATGGCAAACTAAACCCAACAATGGGTAAAACAGATGACACAGCATGACAAAGTTGTGTTTAATCCCAAGCGTGCAAGCTTTTTTTTTTTGACATTTTAAGAGATCCGTAATGTAATTTAACACATTAGCTGAATGAAGGGAGGAGGACAGGACACATAACACAAAGATCA